CTAAGATGTAAAACTGGACCATCACTCTTAACCAGTCCTCTCTGCAGTACACACCTACCCCCCCTCTCTGGCAAGATTCTCCCGTGTAGTACTGTAACCCTGCTGGCTAAGCTGTCTGACTTACAAACACAAAAGTGGCTGGACAGAATTACAAATCCTTTGGCAGATAAAACAATCCTGAAATGTGTACTTCAACTGTATTTAGTTGTTTGCCTGAAGTATAGCTTAATTAATTTTATCTACACTGCCTGGACAAAACAAAAGTCACACACTCTAATATTTCTTTGGACTGCCTTTAGTTTTGATTACGGCACGCATTTGCCATGGCATAATCATAAGCTTGTGCAATGTCACAACATTTATCTCCGCATTATTTTTTCAGCAAGATCTTGTAGTGATGATTGGAGAGTCGGAACACTATTCCAGCAAATTATATAAAATTGTATAGTACAGAAATTGGATGAGGAGAAACATTTTTCAGTACAATTGTAACAATGGTGACACATTATATTTACTTTCAATTATTTATTTTTACTCGGTAGTTGGTACAATTGAATTGTAATTCTGGTAGGCAGCTTTACACAGATTAGGCTGTTGTATATGTTTAGTCCCTAATTTGATGTAATGTTGACAAGTGATAGGTCCACACAATAACAATGGTGCGTTTGCTCAGAAGCTTGTCATTATGAATATTATGACACTAGGGGGAGACTTGTTTCTGCGGAATACTTTGACAAAAGCTATTTGTACTTTCCAAGTGATATTCAAATACCAGCAAACAAGTTGATTTCTGTGCTGATGGAAACAATTTGTATTGTGCTTTTCTGGTTAGGCAAATCATGAAGTAAAAACTTCATCAATTTCTGTTTTTCATGCAAACCATCCAGGATATATAATAACATTCTTCCTCCGTTCTGATAGAGGGAATGTGTGCTTCAGTTTCCGTTTGTTACTTCCGAGTTTTTTTTTCCCTTTTTCTTGGAAAGTGAAAAGAAACACATTTTGTATTCTTAAGAAAAGCGACAGAAATCAGTGTAAACACTTGGCAGCAGGAGAAGGAACAGTCCGTCCGCTCAAACACATGTCTTACATCTTCCTAACTCCTCCAGCTTAAAGAAATACACTGATTGCATTCATCCTCAGCCTGGGGAAACTAGTGCAGGACTTAGTTAATATGGCTGCAGCATGAAGTTGAGTAATGACCTCCATCTCTGCTGTTATGCAGGGAGGAACAAAAATTAAGCTGTGACCTACTGAAATGATGATGCCATAACAAAACCATAGGAAAGCATAGCTAAGCCCCCAGAAAATGCAATATATTGCAGCTTGCCAGTGTAATGTGCAGTGGTGATGCACATTAAAGTGACACTAAAGTCAGGAATTAAATCTTAAAAATGCATTCAAACTCCTTAACCACTTCAAGACCATGCCGTGACAGGGGAGGGGCTGGATTCCCCCCCTCCCCGCTCCTCCAATGCTGACTGGGGGAGGGGGCGGGTAGAGCTGGCTCTGCCTCTAGATAGGCAGAGCCAGCTCTCACTCACGCAGCTGGGCGGATCCAGACATAATTGTCGGGATCCGCTTCAGCTGCGGCATCTCAGTATACCGCGAGCATGCTCACGGTATACTTCGGCATCTCAGTATCCCGCGAGTTGTTGCTCGCGGTATACTGAGCTTAGGGTGACGGGAGGACGCTAGTTTGTGTCCTCCCGTTACCCTAAGGAGAACTATGGGGAAAAGCCCTAACCCCATAGTTCTCCTTCAACTATTAACACTAATGTAGCTTATTTGTGGATTACTCCTGTATAGCTCCTGTGTTTAGTGTCACCTGAGATGTAAAATAACCAATACATTGTAGAATGTTCATGTAGCAAAGTGACTGTTCCCTTAGCTTGGTGAAAAATGAGAAGCTATGTTAAAGGAGAACTATGAGATGAGTGATTTCCACTCACCTCATAGTTCTAAGCCGACCTGTGACACAGACACAGACTGTCACAGGTCGGCTCAGTAGATCGGGAGGTGAGGAAACACATACCGGGTTTCCCTCACCTCTCGATCCTGTCACGGCTCTCAGCCGTGACAGGGGGAGGGGCTGGATTCCCCTCTCCCCGCTCCGATCTGTCAGCGCTGACTGGCGGAACGGACGGGGGAGGGGGCGGGTACAGCTGGCTCTGCCTCTAGGTAGGCAGAGCCAGCTGTCACTCACGCAGCTGGGCGGATCCCGTCATCTACGTCGGGATCCGCTCCAGGTGCGGCGTCTCAGTATACCGCGAGCTGTAGCTCGCGGTATACTGAGCTTAGGGTGACGGGAGGACGCTAGTTTGTGTCCTCCCGTTACCCTAAGGAGAACTATGGGGAAAAACACTGAACCCATAGTTCTCCTTTAATGTTGAACACCAATCATGTGCAGGGAAATGTAAAAAACTGAATTTTGCCTGCAAGTGATTAGACGTCTAAAATGAACAGGACTTAATTTTGTTTACTATGCTAAGTGAACATTCTCTACTCATTAAAATGTATGTAAACTCCAACAATGAACTTCTTTTATTTGTTCCTTTTTACTCTGTTAAATATACCATGTTTTTTTTTTTATATCTCTTTGACTAGTACAAAAAATATGCACTGAGCTTGTCAGAAATTCAAAGTTGTCCTGGGACTTGTTCACTTTTCCTGTGTTATCTTAAGAAGCCTCCCTCCTACTTGTTTACTTGGACTACAGAACAGAGTTACTTTTTATGTTGTTGTGGAAATGAAGAGAGGGGGAAGGATTCAGTAGGTTAGCACAAGACAGGTGGGCAGGGCAGACACCATTTCATATGATTTCAGCCCACAACAAAAAATTAGGAACTAAGTACATTTCTGTAATTTTGTCTTTACTTAAGTTAACATAGTAATACATACAATGTTGTTGTTTTTTTGGGGGGAGGGGCTAGGCTCTCTTTTGGCAATATAATTTGCAAAAAAATAATGTTATTTTCTATGGACTCTATCTATAGACAAATGTTTTACCAGTTTTGACCAGTGTTATTTTTTTTAAAAATGCATGCCAAAGTTATTTGTAAGTTAAAACATTTTTTTTCTAGTTTTGAGGTTAAATAGAAATACATTTTATTAGGGAAAAAAAACTTAATTAAGTTTAATTAAGTGATGTCATATGCAAATCACAGGCCACACCTAAGATCTACATCTACATACATTGTTACATTGAATTACTCAATGACACTTGCACATTATCTCAAAATGCAGCTGCTCCTGCTGTCTAATGCCAAAATGTCTAATGCCAAATATAATGTCCAAAGCAATTACAGGCTGGGAGAGGAGCTAGACTTAAAAGATGCATCCTCAAAACAGTGTTGAGGTTTTTTTAGGACATATCTTTTTCATTCAAAATCCTCAAGTGATTAAAGGGATAAGACATTTTTTTTTTTTGCAAATCCACTTTAAATAAATCAAGCTCATTGTCAATTACTTTGTTGAATCTTTGGCTGTACTTAAACAAAAAGGAATGCAAATATCAAGATTACAACAACAAATGTGGAAATGTTTATACTCTGTGGGGATTTATCAAAACTGGAGCAGACAAATTCTACAACCAGCTTCTCTTTTCAGTTTCTTCAGTTAAGCTTTGAAAATGAAAGGTGGATGCTGATTGGTTGCCATGCACAGCTGCTCCAGATTTTGTCTGCTCCAGTTTTGGTCAATTACCCTCCATGTGTTTGGAAATGTTTATTAATATTATAATTATAGATATAATAATATTAAAGTATAGTAATTATTAACCCTTCGCGACTAACGACCGGCTTCTCTGGGGTCAGCGGGAGCTGAGGAGGAGGTGGGCGAACCTCCGTTCGTCGATCCCCTACCAGTTCTATGGGACCGGGAGTGATGCAGATTGCATCACTTCCGGTCCCATAGCTGTCATTGCTGGGCTCCTGAAGCCCAGCTATGAGCTATTGAAGTGCGATCTGCACTTCAATAGCTTATTTAGAGTGTAAAGGTGACACTAGGGGTCTTTTGGACCCCCAGCATCACCTTAAAGAGTACCTATCACCACCATCTGCTGTCACTTGGGGGGCTTGTAAGCCCCCCCCTATGTGATAGCAATTAAAGTAAAGTAAGAAAAAAAAAGAAAAGTTTCTAATATTAACATTACATCAAATAAATCTAAAAAATGTAAAGTCCCCCGCGAGCACGCGCGTCGCCACGTAAACACGCGTCGGGTGCGCCTACGTATGAAAACGACGAACGCGATACACATGTTGGGTATCGCCGCGCATGCCGCAGTGAGAGCAATAATTCTAGGGCCCGTATTTTTGGGTATCTCTAAATTGATGAAGTGTGGGGGCTTTTAAAGCGTCGTCTATGGAGTTTTTGGGGTACTGAAGTTTTTCGCCATTTCACAGACGCACAATTTTTTACTTGGGCACATTGGGTATCTATTTACTCGTTGTAAACTCATATTTTATATTTTATTTGGGTCATTTAAGTAAATTTTTCACAAGGCCTCAGTCATGAAGGGGTTAAGTCAGTGTGTGGATCACTTAATGGCCAAAGTTTTTGATGACCAAGTCTGACAAAGATCCCAGAAGCAGGGAGTCAGGCGAATAATTTTTTTGCTCACTGTCAATTATACGCTGTCATCCTTCTTATTTATCTGGAACATTGAGTGTGAACTCGGCACCTCTGTCTCTTTAGGTCCTTCCACCCACAATGAAAATGACAAGGGGTCCGCCTGTTTGTAGTGAATTTTTTATGGGAAATGTAGCAGTGAGACAGTATTGGGAGCTTGTTGTCTGAATCCTTTAAAAACATAGGAATCTGCTGGGTTACTTGTGTTGGCCTTTTTAGCATCCTTTTTATCCTTCAGTTCATCCAAGTGAATGTACCAACTCATGGACAGAAGACAGACAGCTAATGCAAAACTGTCTGCTGCATTTCATGTATGGAACACAATGATGCTCTGTGTCTTGGAAATCAATAGCTGTTCTATTCTCTTCCAGAGTCCTGTTCCAATGTGGTTTGCCCAGGGACACATTCTTGTGTTGTGGACCAGACAGGAAGTGCCCATTGCGTCATGTGCCGTACATCCCCTTGCCCAATGCTTGCGTCTGACTACATGCTGTGTGGGAACAACAATGTCACCTACCCCTCCGCCTGTCATCTTCGAAGAGCTACATGTTTCTTAGGACGTTCTATAGGAGTTCGTCACTCGGGCAACTGTGCAGGTATCTATGACCATTTTTTAGTTTATATAAAGGAGTAGCCTGTAAGGATATTAGAAGTCCACAAGATGTTCTCTGACTATATTTCAACACAAAATTTCGGTCAAGTGTGCCCTTTATACAGTACACTGAACTCTAAGTTGACCAACCACATCTTTACATTCAATACAAAAAGGCTTACGTTATCCATTCATTTCCAGGTCTGAGGCTGTCAATTGCAGTTATCATTTGGATTCCTTCAGTAGTACATTTTAATATCATATGGAAATATAGCTATTAAAGGGCATGGCCTAAATTATATTTGTAACATACTTGCTCCTACTGAATGTTACTCACCACGACACACATACGATTTGCTTTTGTTTTAATTTGATCATAATTTATATATATAAAAGCATCTTTTTTTGCATGCTACATTTGTCAATGCCTTTTTTTTTATTTGACTACATTTAAAATCAAATTTACGTTTGTTGCAGAAAATCACCATTGTTTTTAATTATTTAATCTGTATACAATGAAAGGCTGGATCAAGAAAATATCATACCACACACATCACATTTAAAATGAGGAAAAAATGTTCCACTCTACTTGCAGTCCATTGATTGCTTCCTTCAGGCCCATAACCGACGGTCCCTACCTCCATACAGACCTGCGGCTCAAGGAAGAGTCTGAGCATTGCATCCGCAATCCACTGAACACAGGTGCAATGTTCTACAGACTCCAATTAGAAAAAAAATAATAAATGCACATTTTTGTTTTCATCAATCTGTAAGCATTTATTAGGTTTTTTTTTAAAAGGTTGAATTTTAGGGGCAATATGGATGTGTAAATGCAATACTGGCTGCTATAAGCAACTATATCTTAGGTATCACCATTCATGCTGGAGTAAGGGTCATAATTCTAGGGCCATCATTCATGGGTAACTTAAAATTGATTACCTGCAAAGACTTTTAAAGGGTTGCCTATGAACAATTTTGGGTACCAGAGTTTATTACAATGTTAGAGGTTGACATGTTTGGTATGTCAAGCTATTTGTGCGACACAACCTCATTTTTTATATTTTACCAAAAATTAGGTAATATTTTGTGTGCATTAAAATTAACTTTAGCATATTTTTGTACTAATAAATAAACTAGGGATGCACCCATACCAGTTTTTCGGTTACGAGTACCGATATTTTTTTCCCTGGTACTCGCCGATACCGTATACAGATACCGGAATTCCCATTAAGGAAGCCAGGAGGCGTGTAATGACTCGCCACCTGGGAGCCGGGAAGCCGGTCAGTGTGTGAAGACTCGCCACCCGACTTCCCGATCAGCAGGGAAGCCGTCTCCTTGCTCCCTCATCACTAGGTGACGCGGAAGCATGGAGCTGGCTTTCTGGCCAATCAGAAAGCCGGGCAGCGTGTAATGACGCGTTGTCCGGCTTCCTGATTGGTCACCTGGTGATGCTCCCTCATCACCAGGTGACGCGAAAGCATGGAGCTGGCTTTCTGGCCATACAGGAAGTCAGGCAACGCGTCATTACACGGCACCCGGCTTCTTGATTGGCCAGGAAGCCGGCTCCATGCTCTCTAGTCACCAGGTGACGAGGGAGCCCGAAGCTCAAGTATACTTGCCCAAATACTAGTGTCGGTGCATCCCTAAAATAAACCCGTGCTCTAATATCATTTGACATACAAAATTACAGCTACCACTATTGTATTCTACAGTGTCTCTGCTTTTCGAAAAAAGGAGAATGTTTGGGAATTTTAAGTAAACTGCAGGTAAAATGTGCCTTTTAAAATGTGTGCACTGGACTCTGGGTTAAAGTGATAATCTTGCTAAAATATTTACATCTTTGACATTACTCTTTTATTATATCAAGGGATTTCAAGCAATTTAACAAATATAATCCCTTAACCCTGTGTCTTTTGTCTACTGTGCTTTGAGTATTGTCATTACAGATTAAGGCAATTGTTTATATTCAGCTTGTCTGTAAACATTAACTGCGTAGAAGATGTATGAACAAGATAGGTGTCTGCTCTACATACTTGTTCCAATTAATGTCTTCACTTCCAGGAAAAAACAGTTCTATGATGCAATGCACTTGTGTAATCAGTGGGCATCCAAACCTGTTCAAAACAAGCAGCCCTTGCAAAGGTTTAGCTAAGCTATGCCCTTACTGCTTATTATTGTTGATTCTAGACAGCCAATTGAGAAAAAAGAATGTACATCTATAACCCCAATTCCAAAAAAGTTGGGACAATGTGTACAATCTACATAAAAACAGAATGCAATGATTTGCAAACCTCATAAACCCATATTTTATTCACTATAGAAAAAAGAAAACATATCAAATGTTTAAACAGAGAATATAGACCATTTCAAAACAAAAAAAGGTCATTTGAAATTGATGGCAGCAACACGTCTCAAAAAAGTTGGGACAGGGCCCTGTTTACCTCAGTGTAGCATCCCCTCTTCTTTTAACAACACTCTGTAAACGTCTGGGAACTAATGAGACCAGCTGCTGGAGTTTTGGGAGAAGAATAATGTATAATTCTTGCCAGATATAGGATTCTAACTGCTTAACAGTCCTGGGTCTTCTTTGTTGTATTTTCTGTTTCAAGATGCACCAAATATTTTCAATTGGTGAAAGGTCTGGACTGCAGGCAGGCCAGTTAAGCACACGGGCTCTTCTACTATGAAGCCATGCTGCTCTAAAACCTGGATATATCTTTCAGCATTGATGGTGCCTTTCCAGATGTACAAGCTGCCCATTCCACTCATGCACCCCCATACCATCAGAGATGCAGGCTTTTGAACTGAGCACTGATAACAACCTGGAAGGTACTTCTCCTCTTTAGTCAGGAGGACACGGCACCCATAGTTCCCAAAAAGGAATGTCAAATTTCAATTCAACTGACCACAGAACAGTTTTCCATTTTAAATGAGCTTTGGCCCACAGAAGACAGCAGCATTTCTGGATCGCCTTTCCATGATAGAGCTTTCATTTGCATTTTTGGATGGCACGGTGAACTGTGTTCACAGACAGTGATTTGTCCAAGTATTTCTGAGCCCATGCAGTGATATCCATCACAGAATCATGCCTGTTTTTAATGCAGTGCTATCTGAGGGCCTGATAATCACGGGCATCCAATATTGTGTTTCGGCCTTGTCCCTTGCGTACAGAGATTTCTAAGCATCTTTTGATGATATTATGTACTGTAGATGATGATATATTTAAAGTCTTGTTGTACATTGGAATATTATTCTGAAATTGTTCAACAATTTTTTAGACGCAGCTTTTCTGCCCATCTTTACTTCTGAAACACTCTGACCCTTTCAGATGCTCTTTTTAGACCCAATTATGTTACTGACCTGTTACCAATTAACCTAATTAGCTGCCAAATGTTCTTCCCGCTCTTCCTTGTTAGTACCACTTACTTTGCCAGCTTTTTGTTGCCATGTCCCAACTTTTTTGAGACATATTGCTGCCATCAATTTCAAAATGACCTTATTTGTTTCTTAAAATTTTCTCAGTTTAAATATTTGATATGTTTTCTATTGTGAATTAAATATGGCTTTATGAGATTTGCAGATTATTGCATTCTGTTTTTATGTAGATTTTACACAGCGTCCCAACTTTTTTGGAATTGGGGTTGTAGATGGATCCATGGTTCACTTTTTGTTGTCTTTGATGTACTGGAAGCACATGCTCTCTACTATGTAATTTAACTTATTCAGAGGTTGTGCCTCGTAGGACTCCACTTATTACATGAGTGCAACGTAGTATAGAAATCATCATTTATAGCTCCTGGAAGCAAGACTTTAAATCAGACGGTTATGTGGAACAGATGCCCTTATTGTTCTGACGTCTTTTGTGCAGTTATAGTGCAGATGCAGACAAGCTGATTGTAAATGAAGCAGTAATCACACTAGCATGGGCCTGTGATGAAATCAAGGCAGAGGTTTATGGTTATATTTGCAAAGCTGCATAGAATCTATGGAGCGTTGAAAAGACTAAATTTTTTTTAAAAGTACAGGTATATTTAAAAATTTAATTTCTTTTATAACCCCAACCACAACTGGTTTCTTTTTTATCCAGTGTATAAGGGTCAGGAATTAAGTTTATAATGTCACTTTACCCCATTGGCTGCCATCTGGGTAAGATTCATATTTTCAAGACAAGATTTAATGTTTTCTTCTGTTGGGTGATGTCAGGATTGTGTCAGATAAAAGAATATTAATCTCATTTTATTTTCTGTTTACAGAGCACTCAAAGTTTTCCATGGATCTCGATGACACAGTGAAGAACTATGTGTGAAGTCATCATGATTTAATAGCCATGACAGAATGAGCACACGGGCATTCCATGTGTATATTGTACATAGCGTGAGGCATATTTATTAACTGGAAGTGTTATTTATATGTATCAGACAGACTCCACTACCCAAGCACACTCCTAACTGAGTTTAAGAGCTAAGCTCTTGCATACTATAAGGTGGTAAAATAGCTTGTAGGAAATGCTACTTTTTATTCATTTGTTGCCACTATGGATGAAGCCCACATTTAAAAGGTCATTTTGAATGTTTTCCTTGGGCAGAGAGATGAATTCCCTCTGTGTGTTCCAGGGTTGTGTGGTGACAAAAACAGAAGGGTCTGTGGTGTAGAGAATATTAGCCTGTACTATGATATAGTTTACTTTAAAGATACACAAAGATGATATTGAGATGACTGCTCTACAGTCAGTTGAAGACACAGAGGAAAGCTAAGCAACATTGTAACACATATAGAAATGAGCTGTTATCCTGTTATTGTCAGGTTATATTACATAGGAATTGGAGACTGTGCCCCTTATAGCAGAACACCAGTGATACACACATGACATTTATTTAGAATGCATTGATTGTTGACTATTGTACCTTATGATATGAAAACATTTGCTGCTGGCATATCCAATGCCAGCCTATGACAGCCACATGGGCTTTCAGTCATTGTATAATCCCCATCTGCTGTTCACAGTTTTGGGTGTACCTTGCCTCCTAAATGTAAAGGTCAGAGACCACAGTGCTATTTTTTTCTATTTTTCTATCTCTTGTGTCCTTCCTCTTTTTTCTATCCATGACAATAAAAAAATAAAAATGTAACATGTATTCACTGTTTCTTTAATTAAATTAAATGGTACTTGCTATAGAAGACTGAGTTGGAATATTAAACGCATCTATTTTTTTTTTTTACACATTATGCATCATTCTGCATATTTAAAAATAATTTTGAAGGGGTTTGTCTTTATTTAAGTGCTCTTTCATATTTTCATATTCAGAGTTTAAGATGTGTGTGCTTGGGTTTTGGTTTTGGCGTCAACATCCCTACTAAACAACTGTTGTGATAAAAAGCAGTTACAGAAAAAGCCATAGGGTCTGATTAATAAAAGAATTGCATTAGAACAAAAGTTAAATTATTGGCAATAGCAGCCGGTCAAATTTCACATTTCATGGTATAGAAACATTTTACAAGAATTCTGATTGGCTAGTATGGCCAACGCCAGCCATTAAAATGCAATCATTTTGCAGTAGGTGTGTGTCTAAAGGCAAAGAGGCAGAATTTCCTAACATTTTGTGTAGAACAAGTGATCCCAGAAGAGGGCCAAAAAATATATATATACATGTACCGATCAGTTATGACCACTGAGAGGTGGCATGAGTAACATTGATTATCTTGTCACAGTAGCAACTGGTAGTGGGTGAGATATATTAGGCAGCAAGTGAACATTTTGTCCGTGAAGTTGATGCGTTGGAAGCAGAAAATATTGCCAAGCGTAAGGATTTGAGCAACCGTAACAGGGCCCACATGGTGATGGCTACATGACTGGGTCAGAGCAACTCTTGTAAAATGTTCCCAGTCTGCAATGGTCAGGACAGGTGAACCGCGCGACAGTGTCATGGGTGACAAGGCTCAGTGATGCACGTGGGGAGCGAAAGTAGTCTGATCCAATAGAAGAGGGACTGTAGCTCAAATTGCTGAAAAAGTTCATGCTAGTTCTGATAGAAAAGTGTCTGAACACGCAGTGCATCGCAGTTTGTAGAGTATTGGGCTGTGTAACCGCAGACTGGTCAGGGTGCCCTTGTTGACCCCCTGTCCACCTCCAAAAGCACCAAGAATGGGCATGTGAGCATTAGAAATGGACCACGGAGCAATAGAAAAAGGTGGCCTGGTCTGATGAATCACGTTTTCTTTTACATCATGTGGATTGCTGCTTTGTGTGTGTCGCTTATCTGGTAGATGAGATGCACTATGGGAGGAAGGCATGCTGGTGGAAGAAGTGTGTATCAAGAAGTGGATAATGTTCTGCTGGGAAACCTTGGGTCCTGCCATTCATGTGGATGTTAATTGACATGTACCACCTACCTAAACATTATTGCTGACCAAGTACACCCCTTCTTGAAAATGTTATTCCCTGATAGCAGCGGTCTCTTTCAGCAGGATAATGCGCCCTGCCACACTGCAAAAATGGTTCAAAAATGGTTTGAGGAACACAATAAGTTCAAGGTGTTGACTTGGCCTCCAAATTCTCCAGATCTCAATGCAATCAGGCATCTGTGGGATGTGCTGGAGAAACAAGTCCAACTTATAGAGGCCCCACCTTGCAACTTACAGGACTAAAGGATCTGCTAGTGGAGCCCATGCAAGGCTCCTAGCTGTTTTGTCAGCAAAAGGGGGACCTACTCAATATTAGGTAGATTGGTGTGTGTGTTTTTTTTTGCTGTCTAGCAAACATTTTAGTTACAGGGGTTGAAACAATATAACACCATTTAACACTGACAGGGGTGCTTAATTTAGCTTTTATTTATATAAAAAGTTTTTTTCTAAAAGAAAATAATTTGTTGCTGTAACTACTTAAAAAATATTAGTTGGGGTTGAACTTTAATTTTTTTGTCTCTGACTTAAAATCCATTTAAAACTACTGTATATGTTCATTTGAGGCTACTCTGTCCCATAGGGTGACAATGGTGCTGTGCAATTTTACTGCAGAATGAGCAGTGTTGTGACACCATTGCAGGGATTTGACAAATAACGGTTTTACTTTCAGGAGAAACAGGTAATATACCTATAT